ATGGCATGACAAATACATGGCCCAGTCCAAGGAGTGTCTTCCTTCAATCTTTCTACATTGCGCCCAAATAATACACAAGGACAAAACAGTCCAGTCAAGCCTGTAAAGAAGACCAAAAACATGTAAAAGGTAGCAGCTTTCCACTATAGTACGTCAAATGTCAGCAACATGCAAACTCCTCCTATATCTATACTTATATATATATATATATATCATTCACATTGAAGTTTAAGACATAGCCCAAACATACATATATTGAAGATACTTTGACTGAAAGAGAACAACTTGGTCAAAGGAAGTCTATAAAAATTTGTGATAACGATGCTCACTCTTTACTTTAGTATCAGGCAAGACAACTAGTTAGCATTAAGTGAATTCAAGGATCTGCATTCTAGCCTTATATAGTAAAGTTTAAATCGCATCAATTAGAAACATTTACGTTGGCAAAAGAAAACCCATGAAGGCTATTCACAGCCACTCCAAAAATCTCAGTTGACTAATCTAGAATATATCATAGCTACTATCCCAATACCAGTACAATTTGGGAGCTTCGTCATGCCTTAACTTACAGCTTTCTCTGTCTTCAGCACATCCAAAGATCCCAGTCATCCAAGGTTCATCTGCAGGAGGTGCATAACTTTCAGGTAGCGGCTGTCTGCATTCAGGGCACTTGCGAACATCCAACTGAAATTCATCACAGATCAATCCAAAATGATTTAGAAATTCTTCATATATTAAGATTAACACGATTTACATTTTAAATGTATCAAAATAAAATCGTTTTATGAACGCCTAACTTTATAAGATCTACATTATACCTGAACAGTCAAATCAACCAAAGAAAAATACAATTTGTACGAAGTTATCATATGGTGTAAAGTAGGAATGTTAAGTATTACACTATTTTAAAACAATTCAATATCTCCCTAAACACAAGTATACAATTAAATTTGGAGTTTTAATGATTCAATTTGTGGGGTTGGCGCACGTTTGCGGTTCCTAGATTTAATTCCACGCTAGTAAGGGAATTCAGCGCGTACAGTGTAAAACACCGGACAAATTAAAAAGAAACGAGTGAAGGTTTAACGAATGCGGCCTAAAACAAAAAGAAATGATTCGCATTTGATAGAGTGCATGCATGACTGCAATTGCAAACTAATTAACACAACAGAGTATGTATCCCCTTCGTGATTTCTTCACTTGCAGTAGAAATGGAACAGAATCAGTGAAGAACCCTTGAACACAGTTTTCCCGTAATCGTTACACATACAAATTTGGGGAATAAAAGGATTAATTGAGAGAAGAAGTGGAATCCTTACCTGAGGAACCTGTATTGGCTGATTGAGTTCGCCAGGGGTAATATCTTCGACAGGTGTCTGATCTTTGGTCAACTTCACATAACGCGATTGCTTCCGTTCTTCCATCTCCCCAATTCCACGATTATCAACGCCAAAACGATGCAGTTTAGACGCCGAGAAAGCAGAGCCAGAAAACGGACAAGATCTGAAGGATTTCGGAGCAACAGAACAACGATGTTGTAGATCTCGTCTCGGACTTGGGAGAAGAAAAGAAAGGAAACAGCGTTGGAACGCTGCTTACTCTAGTCAACTCTCCTCGGTCATACCTTTCTTTTATCGCCTCTTATTCAGGTAAACTTTGTTTTCTTTTTTTATAAAAAAATACTTAGGTAAATATTAATGTAATTTTATTATTTTAAAAAAATAAAAATAATATTTTACTTTTTTTAGTTTTGGATTAGTTATATTTTTTAGTTTCTAAATTTTCATATAAATACGAATTGTCTATTTTTTAAATTTGGATACATTTTAATAATAAAATTAAAATATAAACACATATTTTTTAACCAAATAAAATTAATTTGTTTGAGTTTATTAAACGATGTTTAGAAAACTATTATTAAATTATAATAATTATATATATATTTTAATTTTAAAAATAAAAATAAAAACAAATTTCAATTTCACTTCTAATAATAAAAATATATTTAATACTTTACTTATTTTAAAAGACGTTTTAGGTAATCTTTTTATGAAAAGAAATCCAAAAATAAGGTTTTCTACTTTTTTATACTGTTATATTTGACTTAAGTTATTTAAAATACGACTTTAATACATCTTAAATTACATTAACAGCTGACTGTTGAATCCTTATAATTTATTGAATGCAATAAAAACTTATGTGACTGTCAATTTTGACGTAAATGAATATTTATTATTTTCTCTTCAAACTCGGTCACATTTCACATATAAATTAATCAGAACTATAAATGCATGACATTAAAATTGACAGGGAAAATGTTGTGTCACACCACTTATGAATGAGAATCAGCCTATAACTATATTTTGGTCAGTGAAAAGATTAATTTTTTATAAATGAAAAAAGAGAGAAATTAAAAGGTAAAATAATAGGTATATAAAGTAAGTATATAAATTAGTTGGGTGTGAAAAGATATAAATTATAATATAAAAATACTTTGAAAACATCTTTTTTATAATATTTTAATATCCTCTGATCATAAAAATAATATGAACCAATCAAACACATAAATAATGTTTTAGAATATTATAAAAATAGTGTTATCTATCCTAACTTATGACTTATGTGGAGATGTTTAATCACATGTCTGTCGTATTAACTGCAGTTTTGTGACGGAAACTGTCATATTTGTGACAGAAACTCTTTCGTATTAGCAGCAGCGAAAGAGTTGCTAAGTCGAGATTGGAAAGTTGAGATTTGTCATTCATTACCAGTTCAGAGATTTATCATTAACTTGGATTGATATCTGAGTATATAATTTGTGCCTTGTGATTCTAACGACACAGAAACAGTGGTTTACAGTTGAATTTGAAGACGATGATAAGAAAAACCACTCGTAATCAAAGCATGTAAAAAATTACATCATGGTATTGGAATGAACTAAGACATGTTTACGAAGGCCAATTTCTATACCAACCAGCCCAAGCAGAAACCAAGCCACTGATGCCAAGAGTGACAGTGTGGTTGCAGAAGGGATTCGGCTCAATATCAGCTATTGCTATGAACAAATCCGCAACATTAGCAGCCACAGCCATTAGCCTCATGATTCTATCAATTCTGATCTCCTTAATCTTTTTCTCTTCTTCCGCTGCTTTCTCCTTGCTGCTTCTCAGCGCTCTCTCTGCCTTAACCCCTTTTCTAAGCATAATGAAATCAGATATGATGAAGAAAACATACCCCACAGACTCACCAAACGCTGATATGAAGCTCATCCTCCTAGCCAAGTTTGCATCTATGGTCCCAATTCTCGCCAACCAAAGAAAGTGGTCAAAGAAGAAATACACCATCTCTCCTGCATTAGCAAACACCGCGAGTAACCTCAGGGAAAGAGTGGAACCAGGGTTTCTGCGAAGAACGTTGAAGCCAGTGAGAAACCTTCCAGTTCTGAAGGCTTTTCTGCTGAGTCCTGCGGCCACTTCCCATTGCTTGAACCTCTTGGAAATGTCAGGGCTCGTGGCTTCCACGTGCCAGTTCACGAGCTTCGACACGTACTGGAACGTCTTCACGAGCTTGTCAATGCCATCTCTCTTGGCTAGGAAGATAACCAGTTTGTCCACTGAGTCATTCATGGTGGGGATGTGGTTGTGTTCATGAAGCAAGTTTGTGTTTGGTTGTTCCAGAAAATGTTAACTTTAGTCACAGATGAAGCTGGTTTTTGGATAAGAGAAGCTTGTGGTTACACTTTGTTTTACTTCGTGCCACCATTCATTTTTTGGTGTTCTTGGAATTTTGTGAGCATTTATTAAGACACTTTGTTTTGTTCTTATTCTTCTGTTTGTTATGGCTACGCGTTCATGCATCTATTCTTCTCGTCTGATCTCATCTTAATAATATATTTATATTTTTCGTTTATTTTTAATTTGTTCTCAAATTAATTACTTTCTCCGTTTCTATTATAATAAATGTATTTATTAATACAGATGTTATTTTTGTAACTTTATTTATTGTATTTACATGTACTTGTCTTCTATTTCGTCTCTCTCTTTCAGAGAAAGAAAAAGGAAGATTGTGTGAATATATCTTCAACCATAGTAAAGAAAGACTCGACGGTGGAGTGTTGGCACTCGTAAAAAATTAAATTTATAGTAATAATTTTATTATTTTTAACTTTTAATTATTATAAGAAAAAGTGAACCATAAATTGTGTTTTAATAGTTTTTATTAATATAAATTCTTTTATTCTTTAAATGTTGTATCTATTTTTTATATAATTATTTTTTTATAAATAGAATAGTATTTTAATGTTAATAATAATTATAATAATTAGTTTTTTTATTTTCGTAACGATAATATGATAATATATATATATATATATATATATATATATATATATATATATATATATATATATATATATATATATATATATATATATATTGAATGCTATTCTATACTTTATATTCTAAAAATATTTTCTTGAGGTATGAAATCTAAATAAGTCAACACAATCCCCATCTTGGCAATTACTTACAGCACTATTACAATTAATGAACTATAATAACTTTCCTTTATTTATTTAATCTTTATCTTCTCTACTAATTCTTATATGAATGTTTTACTAGCATTTTATGAGATTCTTTTAACTATTCTAAATATATAATATCCATTTAAATTTCTTAAAAGTATCCTTTCAAATATTAACAAATTTCATCTATTGAGTTGTCGAAATTTAAATTAAAAAACATCTTTTATATCTTTTAGAAAATGTGTATTATAATCAAGTTTTTACTTAATCTTTTAATAGTTATAGGTATTTTTCACTATTAATTTTTTGAAAATATTCTGCATCGGCACTCGTAAAAAATTACTATAATTTGTAATCTAATATTTGTTATTATTAAATTTTTTTAGTAAATATTTAAATTTACATGAGTAGAAAATTAGAAAAAAAAAAGTAAAAAAAAAAGGAGGAAAGTGATAACTGTCCATTTAACTAGTGTTCACGGCACCCACAAACCCTACCCTATAAACCAAATTCGCAATTCCTTCTTCTCAACACTTCCATTCTCATTCTAATTTGTAGAACATTTTTTTCGAATTAGGGTTACATCTTCTATTCAATTTATCATGGACGCGCAGAGAGCTTTGCTCGACGAACTCATGGGTACAGGTGCGTCTCTGTTTATCGCATTATAAATCATGAATCTCCATACTCTCAAATTGATTGAGTTGTTCTGTTTTGTTGTCACTGTGGTGAATTTCATAGCGCGCAACTTGACGGAGGAAGAGAGAAAGGGGTACAAGGAAGTTACTTGGGACGACAAGGAAGTGTGTGGATTCTACATGGTGCGCTTTTGCCCTCACGATCTCTTCGTCAACACGCGCAGTGATCTCGGTGCGTTTAATCAATTCTATCACGGATAATTCAATTTCGATTCTCTTTCGTTTCTGGATGTCAATTCAACTACACTGTTAACTTCATCTATTAGATTGTTGCGACTGCTTCGTCTTAGAGTGCTTTTTAGAAGAAAATAAGATTCGTGAGCTTTGACTGAGGATAGTTGATGAGTTCTTAAGTAAGGAAATATGCCTATTGAATTGATTCCCACGTCAACTTGATAGGGATCTTCTTTATTGTGATGGCTGCGGCTGGATTTCATTATTCTTCCTTCTACATAATGTGCGTTTAATTTTGATGCAGGTGCTTGCCCAAGAATTCACGACCCAAAATTGAAAGAAAGGTGAACAAGTAAATTTGGTTTTATGTAATTTAGGTTTCTGTGGTTTTTATTGCTGAGCTGTATAGAACTTATTTGGTCTTGCTGCAGATATTTGGAAATAAATCAGTGCAAACACTGTTACACTGTCTGATTATTAGACGTGCCTGTATGAAGTTGTAATTGTCTATCTTTTAAATTTTAGCTCTATTACAAAAATTTCGGTGCTGTTAATCTTCTAGTGATGTGTTGAAGATTATTTAGTGTCGTGCTGCTGGTAAAATTTCGTTTAAAAGTGGATCCTAGTACTATATAAATCTGTTTCAATTTATATATCATATTCAATGTAGGCTTTACAATTCCTGCTTCAATTGGTGTTATGGTCGTGCTGTTCAACACGGATCTTACTGATGTTGCTTCTGTTTCAAGTTTATTCTCCTTTGCTGATTTTACTTTGTCATATGTGAGCATTTGATGATAAGATGCTGATAAACGAAGGCACAAGGCTCAGTGCATTGTTTTAGGTTTTTACATAGTATATAATTGAGTTTTAGATTTAATGAACTTTACTCTATTGCTGACTTCAGTTTTGAGAAATCTCCAAGACATGATGCATATGTACCCAAATTTGAAGCCGAACTTGCTCAATTTTGCGAGAAATTGGTAGGTTATGTACCTGCTGTCCTTCTCTCCCCCTCAAAAGTTTTCTCTTGTTTGTATCTTGATGGACCATTCCTCATATTTTCTGCAATAATCACAGGTGATGGACTTAGATAGAAGAGTAAGGCGGGGACGAGAGCGCCTTGCTCAAGAGGTGGAGCCAGCACCACCCCCACCTCTGACAGCTGAAAAATCTGAGCAGTTATCTGTTGTGGAGGAGAAAATAAAGAACCTTCTTGAACAAGTTGAATCTCTTGGCGAAGCTGGGAAAGTTGATGAAGCTGAAGCTCTTATGAGGAAGGTGCTGAACAATATGCAATACCTTTTTTTCCCTTGCATGCAAGTTGAGCTTATAATGATTTGCCACTGGCATATCTGAAGCACTTTTGTCGTTTTGGGTGGGACTTACTCTTACAGGTGGAGACACTTAATGCTGAGAAGACAGCTTTAACACAACCTCAAAATGATAAGGTGTTGATGCTTGGTCAGGAGAAGAAGATGGCACTATGTGAAATTTGTGGTTCTTTTCTTGTGGCAAATGATGCTGCAGAAAGGACACAGTCACATGTCACAGGGAAGCAGCATGTTGGTTATGGCATGGTTCGTGACTTCATAACTGAGTATAAGGTAAGTTTTGTTGTCTTGAACTAATTTGAACACAAACAATTATTAAATGTTTCTTTATATATGTTGGTATTGTTTTCAGGCTGCTAAGGAGAAAGCTAATGATGAGGAAAAGTTAGCCAAGGAAAAAGAGGCCGAAGACCGGAGGAAACAGAGGGAGAAGGAGTATGAGAGGAGGAGACGGAGTGATTCAAGTGATAGGGATAGGCACCGTGATAAAGATCACAATAGGGATCGGGACAGATATAGGGACAGAGACTCGGAGCGTGAAAGGTCTCGGGAGAATGATGGTAGAGGCTACCGAGATGGGGGAAGGGTAGTAGATTATAGGTTGAGGAATGGACGAAATGGAGGTAGAGACCGGTACCGTGATAGGAGCAGATCACGTTCTCCTGGTAAGCATAGCTACAGAAGATCTTCTTGAAGTCCAATTTGCTCAAATTAGAGGAATTTCTTGATAGATATCAGAATTTGAATTTACAAGAGGTAGTCTTTAATATCCCAAGACTTACATGAATATGTGCTTTTGGAGTCTTGAGTTTTTTTTTTTTTTGTCATCATCAAGGGTGAATTTACACTTTTCCCATCTCAGAGCTTTGTTGAGAGTGTACAATCTCCGTTTCATCAAATATTATTAATGGAGAAAAGGGTTGAGGTAGGTATTTCACTGTTGTAACTTCTCTTACAATTTGTTTTGCACCTTGATTTAAGTTATTTATGATGATTCATCTCTGAAGCATTGTGTGTAGTCTTTCTTTTCTCTCATTTCTGGGAATCAATTGATTGATTTAAGATGTCAGACACAAAATTTCATGAATGAATGTCATTGCTGCCGAGGGGGATGGTTTTCTCTTGTATTGAGGTAACTTGTGAATCTTATACCTTGCGACAAATATATTGATATTTGTTCAGCATAGAAATGTTTGTTTTTTTTCCCCATTCCTTTTTCTGTTTCATTACCGTTGTTTCTTAAATTGATATAAACCAACACAGGTTTAAAAAATGCTGCTTATTCTGACATGAAATTTGACATTGAACTACATTCCGAAGGCACCAGTATAGAAGATATAGGTAACCTTACTGAATCTGTTGTTAGTTATCTCCCAAATCCATGGTATCATAGCATATTTATTATATATTTGGTGTGTGATATCATCCGATAACATCATATTCTGGATGGAGAATTAAATTTTATTCCATAGTTTCCTGATGTCATTCTTTATATGGGGTTCCGGTGCGAAAAAGATTACTAGTTCATGTAGTCCAGTATAAGTAGACGGTTATTTTACCCATTTGGCAACTGGTTTGGAATGGTAAATAATTACAGGAAGGCAAATCATCCTCTGTAAAAGTAACGATTTACAGAGTGTTCGAATAGAAAATGAAATGACCATATACAGGGATTTGGTTGTCTTTGCTTTTCGCATGAAAAACTTTCGATGATGTGGAATGCAGAATCTCTCCTTTCATGAACAAACGTTCTTCCTTTGTTCTCCGGGTGATTGGAGGTAAATTGTCTCTCATATCTGGGTCAGGCGTTTAATTTGGTGTTCAGGAACTCAAGTTTCCTTGTGATCTTTGATAGCTATATACGTGCAGGAAAATAACCCTGGCCTCTTGTTATAAAACCGAGGTAAAATGCAAATTAAGCTCTAATTATTATTTTTTTCTCTTTATATGTGGAGAAAGGGATATGCTTTTTATTATTCAAAATAGCAGCCCAATCCTTGATGAACCTAGGACTTGAGTCAATACACTTCAAACTTGCGATCTTAAAGATTGTAAAAATTCAAGGAAAGAAAATTAGCGATTTTTGGAGCAATAACCCAGCCTCTTGCATTTGTTATTCTCCAGCCTCTTCCTCTGTTTTTTGTTTGATACCAAGTGTAAGTTATGGAATGATTTAACAGAACACAGGTGAGAAATGAAGATAGATTTTTTTTCCCCTAGCTATGGTGGGTGGTAGACTTATAATGATAATCCATTAGAGTTTTGGAATTGTTATATAAATTAGAAGGAATACAAAAGCTTCTACGTTTTCGCAAATAAAGAAGCTAAGAGGATTATTTGGATTAGAAAATGACAAATCAATCAGCACGTGAGTTCTAATTTTGAGTTGATTGAACCAAGGACTCTGTCCTTGAATTATTACTCTTTCTCGATTGAAGTACGATATTTGAGTAACTTTTTGAGTATTAATATTTAATATTATTTGGCTCATAATGTATTTTTAGTACAGTTCAGAGATCAATTTAAAGGATATCTAAATATTTGGAAGATTATTGAACACCGCCTTTAGTATTTGTAATACCGGTAACAACTTAAGTTTTGGAGCTAAATTGATAGTTCACGGATTTGTTACTGTTTACTTCCGTATGCTTTTGCTGATGTCTTGAAGACGAAAATAACAACGTATTGCGTGGTGATTTTTGGTTAAAAAATTTGGGATATTCTTTTTTCCAATAAATACGACTGTAGCTGTTGTATTGTGATAATTGATTTTTTGAAGTCTCTATTTGCAATCTAAACTACCTATTAATATTCATTTTGATAAATTATGTATTTATACAAATAAAGAATCGGATGGAGTATTAAGTAAAAGGCACATTTTAATTATATTTCTAAGTAACTTTTGCTTTAATTTGTTCTTGACTTCTTTGGATTAAGTATAAGGCACGCTCTTTTACGACTTATGAAATGTCGGTTTATACTTGGAAACTGTTTCAACTTACAATTATGCTATTTCAACCATTAGTTCCCCAAAGTTTATCCTTCGGTCATTTAATATTTGGACAAGAAATCACCCTTTTTATTTTGTAGTTAAATGAGTTCAACGGATTTAGTATAATTAATCACAGTTTGTAACTTAAAAAAAACGAAACTTAAATATGTATTTTGTAGAGTCCGTAGGTATGTTTAGTTTGTCTTTTCAGTTTTTTAACGTCACTAGGTAAAAAATTGTTTCGGCTTATAATTAGTGCTTACTAGAAATTTTTTTTGACTTTAATGTTTCTTTTTTATCCTTAAAATATTTATTAAAATTATTTAATCTTTTTATAAAATGCAAGACTTCATCATATATTTATTTGTTCTACTGTTTATTCATCTCAATATAGACTTTTACAATTTTATATTTACCTTTTAGTTATCTAAGATTGATAATAAATGATAATCGCTTCACTAATATTATTTTAGTTATACTATTTATTTTAACTTTATTTCTTTCTGTAATATTTATGTAGTTATTTCGCTAGTAGACTTCAATATATAATTGATAGTGTATTTTATATCATTATTAGTTTAACAATTACATTTATTAACGTAATGAAATGAAAGTATGATCTTTCTTTAAAATTATTGTACGTCTATTATATTTGAATTTTTTTATTAGACATTTTAAGATATAGTCTCAAACGAGTAGTATAATAAGCAATAGGAAAAAATATAATAATAAAAATTGTAATTAGGGATGTGTGAATAATTTTTTTTAAAAAGTTGGAACTATAAATACTATAAAATAGATTTCATCGATAAATTAAAATATATATGAAATATTATTGTAACATTTTCTTTCTGTTAGTTTATATCTGTTAACAAATTTTACCATATATTTATATTTTGATTAATTACTTTTAAAACCTTTAGTATCAATTATCAACTCATATATTTCATATAATGTTAGATTCTAGTTAGCTTCAAGTTTTTTTGTACACATTGTAGAAATTGAAGTTGAGTTCCAAAAGCGGGACAAATATTGAGATTTTTCTGGTTATGGAAGAAAATGACGTTTCGAAAATAAATTTTGAATTAAGAGGGTTAAAAGTAGTAAATTACTATATGAATATTTCAAATAAAAATATGAAAAATTGAATCTGGAGGTATAAAAACGTGATAGAAAATAATTATTACAACAATTGTAAAATATTATGATATTAATCTTAAGAAACAAGCTATTAAAAGAATAAATTCACACCTCGACCCAAATAAACGCCGATTTTTTCACCCTTAAATACATTAAAACTAAATTGTATTATATAAAAAACTGTGTAATCTTCTTGACAAATATTTTTTGACAACCTCCATAATATTTAATGTACACCAAAAGAAACGACAAATATTTTCTTTACGTTTCTCAAATAACTTAAATTGCCTCTAAGGGTCTTTACATGCATACATATATGAAACATAATTAATAAATAAAAGTAACTTTAATAATAGTTTCACATAGTATCAATTATCTAACATTTAATTGATAAAATTGAAACAAAAAAAAATGACCATAAAATTCACATAATCTTGAGCCTTAAAAATTTCACATGTTAGATTTATTTTCAGCCCGCTGAATCCACTCCAAACAACGTGTGACAGGCCTTCTCAGTTTCTATTTGAATATTACTTATATTTTTATAATATTAAAATAAGTTTGTTAACTTATTCCAATAAAACTAGAGATCTCTGCACAAAAATACAAAAAGGGATGGAAGATTGGCTTCAAAACAAAGGGTTACTACAAGGAAGAGAAAGAAAGAACCATATATCCCTTTTGCAACTAGTTACGAGTTCAAAGAGAGTAGGTATACCTACACGACGAATAACTGCATGTGAGCACTGCCGATGTAAAAGAATATCTCCTCTGCAAGGGAAAAAAACATATCTGGAGAGAGAATGGGTGCAATGGGCTCGATTGCTTGAAGTTAGTAAGGAACACTCATGAGTCCAAATTCACTCGTCGCATCTTACAAACAAGGTTTGCTGTTGGCATATCAAGATGGTTTCCTGAATCTGTCTTTAAAAGATCTTGTAGTTGGTTTCTTGGAGAAGAAAGACAGCTTTGGAATGTAGCCAGAACTGGAGGAATTGGCATTGATAGAGCAGAAAGCACGTTACTGAGATACTCAATATCAACTGATAGCTGCTGTGCTCCACGATCTGAAATGTGTTGAATCCCACGCAACTGCTCGATGTAAAGTGCAGTAGCACCCTCTGCAACCTAAAATATCACAGGAACCAACGGAAAAAAGTTCGTTTCGTTAGTAACTTAATGTGCATACAGAAAAGGGATTCATGGTTTAAAAATAATATCAAGATCAGAGTCATTTCGAATAATTTTTATATATTAGTTGATTCTTTCGAAAGCTACTTAGTAGCCTCAAAAATAGTCAGATATCTGATTCTTATTTTTTGAGAAGTTCAAACACAAACAGTTTTAACTTGATGTTTTTGAAAACGACAATTATTATTTTTGTTTTTGAAAAGGGGTTAAACAAACAGGCAGACAAAAAGGATATATTTTTTTTTTTTAACTTTGAGCTTCCGTTATATTATGAGTTACCTTGAACATCCATTCAGTTGCAAAGAACTGCGCTTCATCATTGACTTCATTGTTAATTCCCTCAGCAAGTGGCTCCAGTTGTTGGGGTAAAGTAAGAAGATATTCACCAACACTAGTAACATAGGACTGTGGATATGCACTGAAGGTAGGGAGAGGAAAGTTTCCTTGTTCCTCAACTGATGACCAAATTGACATACGGGACACATCACTGAGGCGTTGCCGCACTTTGGATATGAGGACATCATATACAAGTTCGTTAACCGTGTCTGCAAATGCTGCAACTCTTTGAGATGCAAGGGGAAGTGCGTGAAATCGGGGATCTTTAGACTGCAAATGGTAAGATATTTTACGTAAGACAGTAGAATATAAAGAGAAAGTAAAGTGTGCGAAGTGAATTGTATAAGTGTGTCAGCACATAGCTAAAGGAACAATACCAATGCAATCTTGTGGCCTGAAAAAAGCAATGAATCGTATTCATATAAAACAATATTTGCATAAATTTTTAAGTGTGGTTTGAATTTCTGTTAACCGTTTTCACATGTGCAAACAAATTCCATACGAACTCTGATTTCAGAATATTGCTTATTTAATTTCTTTAATTACAAAATTTACCAATGTCAATAACTACAAAACAAAGGGTTATGTCAGAAGCATGTAGATGGAGGGAAACAGAACAAAGGACATGTTCAAACCAATTCCATAAGAACTGACTTCAAAAGCTTGCTTATTTAATTTCCTAAATTATAATATTTATCGATGTGAATAATTACAATTCTAGGCAAGGAGGATAGGGATACTCAAATCAATCTGACAAGGAGGGAGAAAGGAATATTCAAAAATAGTGTTTAAAGGATTGGGTTGTGTGAGACATTCTTATCATTATTCCTATCGTTATATCTTTAAGGTTCCTCCCAATTTCAATTTACAATCTATTAACTATTCCTTCTATCCATTTCTAAACCAAAAGGAAAAGAGAAAATGGGACCACAACAAAGCTAATACCTGATTCAAAAGGTTAAAGAGTCTCCTGGCCTTCTCAGGCACATCAACCAACCGCAGTGTTGCCATATCCAAGGCAGCCCTTCCGCCATAAGATGGTTCCCCTTCTACACTATTATTAATAGTCTGGTTTTGGTCTAGAGCTGAACCAAATGCAGAAAAAGATAGGGTTGTGCTCAATCTAGCAAGAGTGGCTCTTAAAGATGCTTCAAATACAGAAGATCTGCTTGTCAAAGTATCTGCAACTGTCAGGATTTGCAATGCCCCTTGGACTATGGACCATTCCTCCTCATTTGAGATCAAATCAACTCTCCGAGAATTTTGGTTTCCATCCTTCTTCTCTGTGTCCTTCTTAAAAGTACCATCACTTCCATAATCCACACCACAGACAGTTCGCAGTGACTTAAGTGTTTCTTGCAGAGAGGAAATGTATTGTAACATTATGTCATCAAGGGCAAGAATCAGTTCATCTGCCTCAGAACCTCCAGTGAAGT